TGACTTCGTAATTTAGTTTCTTTTGTCTTGTCTTCACCACCTGGCTACTGTTGTAAAATGTTGAGAGATTCAAACAAAAAGTAATCAATAAATAGAACAAAATAAAAAAGACTCCACGTCGCTAGCGGAAGTGCAAGTGTCTGAGAGTGCAAGTCTGAGAGTGCAAGTGCAAGTCTGCAGCCAGACACTTCTCCGGCTCTCGGGACCCGACTGGATGTTTTGCGCCGCGAGATTAAATTCCTGAATAAAACGCGGTCGGTAACTCTGGTGTAATTTGAACGGGAGCGGGCGGTCTAACAATATCCCGTTATCGACGTCCATTCAGAACAGCATATCTGCGCTTTATTCTTATTGACCACCGGTACAGCTTGCGCTCAGGACTGTTATGCATGCGCTGCACGCATGCTTTAAACGTCACGCGTTTTATTTGCGTGGTCTGTGCGCAGCATGTGCATAACGATGCTCAGAGCAGGCTGTACCGGTGGTAAATATACGGCCCTCAGACAGGACAGGCAGGTTGTCGATGAGTGACCGAGCAGAATAAGGATGGAGCAAAGTGTGGATGCGCTGTCCTTGAAGGACGTTCAACTCCGATTTGTTTATATTTTGCATAGCCTATCATTTTAAATGAAAGATGTCGTATTTATTTATTTTTCCCTGCCACACTTTTCCTACTGTGTTAACAGAAAAATGTCAAACGAATTTAGTATTTTGACAAGACGAATAAAAATAGCTAATAGGCTATTTTTGTACAACCTTTTTATTTTATTTTCTCTCTGCAACACTTTTTCCCTATTGTGTTGTAAATGTTAAACGAATTGTATCCTGACAAGACGAATCAAAATAAGAAATACAATTTTTGTACATTTTTATTTTCTCTGACACTTTTTTTTCCTAGCTACTGTGTTGCATAAAATATTAAACGAATTTTGTGTCTTAAGATAATTCATATAAATTCAAGTCAAAGTCAATAAATTCAAGAGTCTTGACAAGACGAATAAAATAACATACAATTTTGTGCAGAATACACTTTTATTTGTTAGCCTATCTCTCTTTCTTTCAGTAGCGGAAATTTAAATGTGAGATTCCGGAAACGAGATCTAAATTTAGCGGGAACGGTCGGGTCGGGAAGAAAACTATTCTAAGCGGACAGCGAGTGAACAAAGAGTGAATATATAGCGGGAGCGGGTGGGTGCGGAATATAACCTTGCGGGAGCGGGACTAAAAACAGTCCCGCGCAGACCTCTAATTTAAAGAAACGCTAATATTTTGAGCGCGAAAAAATCTCGTTTTTCCTGTGGTTTGCAAGATCACAGGTATTTTGTATTTAGGTGCAATAAATCGAAGCATTAAAGCATGAGTTGAATTAAAGTTAAATATGAAAATACTTACAGGAGTGATAAAAATCAAACTTCACTCACAACACTACGTGAATTCAGCGCTTCCACATCTCAACGGTTAGGCTCATGAATATTAATCAGATGCGCGCTTAAAGGGATAGCGACCTGAAAATAAAATTTCTGTCATCGTTTACTTATTCTAAACCCGTGTAACTTTCTTTCTTCAGTTGAACACAATATATATATATATAATTTTTTTTAATAATGTTTGTAATCAAGCAATTGCCTGCATCCACTGACTTCCATACACCCCCCCCCATTTATGGAAGTCAATGGCTACTGGCAGCTGTTTGGTTACCAACATTATTCAACATATCTTCTTTTGTGTTCAACAGCAGAAAGAAACTCAAACCGGTTTGGAACAACATGAGGGTGAGTAAATAATGACAAAATTTTCATTTTCGGGTGTAAAAGTTCCTCGTTACCCTTTCGATGATGAAGGCTTTCTTATTTTCAAACAGCGCTTTCTACGGAAAAAAAGATATTAGATCTTTCAGAGACCAAAGAAATCAAGTTCTCTTAGAAACCAATGGTGTAATGAAAAAACAAACAAGTCTCACTTAATTTGATATGATGTATATTTTCTTCAGATTAAGCAAAAAAACTAGTCAACCAAAATAAAATGGTTTTATGAAACATGTATTTAGTATTTGATGAAGCTACATGTCCATTCTAAATAATAACCGTTAACTTTATTGAAGGGTTTAAGTCCCAGTTTAAAACATTATA